ACGTCTCTCAATCAAGTCTCTCACTCTCTCATGCGGAGCGAGCGCTTCTCATCGCCCCCGCCGCCGCCCCCGCCCCCCCGCGCCTCCCACTGGGAAACCGCGGGCGCTCGGCCGTTCGCGCTGAACCTCGCGGTCGCATTCGACCCGATCCGTCTGCGCGTGCCGGCTGACGCGCGCGAGCAGCCATTCACGCGCCTCCATGCCCATTCCGTGCTTATCGCTGATGTGGTCGCACATTGCAAGGGTCTCGCCATGCTCAGGCACTTCTATATTTGGCGATAGAAATGCCCCTGCCTGGACGGTCCGAACGATTTGTGAGGCTGTTCTACGTCATTCGCAATCTTCACCCCCTCGTCATAGAAATGGAACAGGTCAATATACGCCTGATTGCCCGAACCGCGGATCATGGTTTCCATCGGGTCTTGGCGCGCGCACACCTGGCCGCGGCCTCGTCGAGTGGCGAGGTGGGCGGCAATGGCGCGCAGAAAGGCGCTACCTGTCAGCATCCTAGCTGTCTTCCAAGACAGCGAATCGAGTCGGTCAATTTCTCTGGCCCAGTGCCTCATGGAAAGGGGCGCCTTCGCGCCCTCGGCAATAGTGCTGACCTTTGTCATCGGATCCGATGCCATCATGAGATCGAGTCGGCCAATTGCACGAGGGTCGCTTAGCTTCTTGGCCGGCCGGAACGCATCTCAGGTCGTAGACAGCTCGGGTTCGCGGAGTTGCCCTTGCCCACAGCGCTGAGCTGGGGGAAACGAGCCCAATCATGTTCCTACTCCGCTTCTTGTAGCAACTGGCATCGGACATCAGGCCCAAGTTCACATTCTCCATTTTCCCCGCATCAGCCCAGAGATCGGCCGCCCCCAGAACGCTGTTCGGAAGATACGCATGGCCACCACCGCCAGGGGGCGGGTCGTCTGAAGGCAGATCATACCGGCCGCGCCACATCGTTGCTCTTCTCATCATCAGAGGACTCGTCAACATCTTCATCGCCATCATCGGATCCATTCCATCAGGCTCATAGTCAGAGTCATCATCGGAGTCGCCACCATCGTCGCCAGGAGGGCCAGGGCCCCTGTTCTGTTTGGCAGGCGCGGCGCATTTGGGCCTTGAGCCTCCCGACCCCCCCCCCCCCGCGCACGCGCGCGTCCACAGCCGGCGGCGCCGCCGCCGGGCTTGCGCAGGGTCTGGAGGGGGATGCCCAGGAGAACTCGTCGCAGGCACTGCCTGCGCGCCATCAGATTTCCTCTCCTTCCTGACTCGGCGGTTTTCACCTTCCCCGGCTTTTCCCCCCTTCTCCGCCCCTCGCTTGTCAGCGAGAGCTTCAGTCCTGGCGCGTTCCTCAGCGCGCAACCCCCGCTTCCCGACATCGGCTTCGGCGCGGAGTTCCACGTTCAGAGTGGCTTCGCGAAGCGTTGGGGTCATCTTCTGATGCTCGGCCATGGCGCTGTCCGGGAGTGCCCTCGGGCGTCGGGCAACCTCGCTCTCTGCTTGCTGCCCCGCGCCGCGCTCAAAGACGCGCGCGGCGCCGCCGCGGGGCGCCCCGGGCATCGGTCGACGACCGAATGGCCCGGCACCTGGGAGAGTTTGGGCGGCAATTCGCCCTCCCAGCGCCATCCTCGTTCTACGCTCTTGCTCTTCTTCTTCCCTCTGTTTCTCCTCTCGGCGCCCCGATCCTTTCTGGCTGGCACTGCAGAGCAGCTCGCGAATTCGTTCTCCTCGCGATAGAAGTGTTCGTTGCATGATGCGTTTGGGCACTGCCCGCAGTCGTGCACCGCTGATCTGTTGCAGATGAAGCATCGCAGTGCGCCCGAACCGCGCCGGTCTGGGCGCCGCCCCCCAGGCTGCCGAGGCGCCAGCTGCGGTGGCCTCGGGCGACAGTCTCGCGCCGTGCTGCATGTCCCCGCAGACCGCTTCGGTACACTTTTTGGCCACTTCGCGGCACTCCTTGGCCCGTCGAGACTCCCGGCGCTCGAGCGCCTAGGGCGCGCTCGCTTCCGCGCCGCGCGAGGCGGCGCCATGCCTGGCGTTTGCCTCTTGCTCTCTCTCTCTCTCTCTCTCTCTCTCTCTCTCTCTCTCTCTCTCTCTTTCTTTCTCTTTCTCTTTCTCTTTCTCTTTCTCTTTCTCTCTTTGTTCTCTCTCTCTCTCTCTCTCTCTCTCTCTCTCTCTCTCTCTCTCTCTCTCTCTCTCTCTCTCTCTCTCTCTCTCATCTGAGTTTTCACGCAAGGCATCGCGGGCCTCCGCCTGGGCGCGCGCGCGCAAGTCGCACTCGACTCCAAAGCGACGGCTTGCCCCCGCTATCGAGGGTCACTGGCCTCGCCTCTGGCTCGCTGGACAAAAGCAGCAGTCTCATCAGCGGCGCGCATGGCAACCTCCATAGCCGCGCGCTCGTCAGCCATGGCCTCCTGAATATCAGCATTGGCCTCTCGCTCCAGGACCGCGCTGCGTGACTCGGCGGCCCTCAGCTCGCCAGTTAACGCAGAGGCGGCAGCCAACAGACTGAGCCTTTCCCCCCGGACAGCAGTCGCAGCTTTCTCGGCGACGGTCTTTCCCATGGCCTGGGCCAGTTTCTCGGCCGTCACCGTTGCCTCGAATCGATCGGCCATCCGTTTTAGCTCCACGCGTGCAGGACAAGCGCGCTCGGACGCAATAAGCTGCTGTCGATGTTCGACCTGCCCCACCGCCTGGATCACCGCGTGCCGACCCTGTTCGGCCCGGAGCCTTGCGGCGGCTCTCCGCTGGAGTTCCGCCGCCAGGATTTGTTCGGACATCCATGCTGTTTCCTTACCCCTTTATGCCACCCCGGCAACCCGTTCCCTTCCCTGCGCCTCCCCCCACTCGAAACGGCGGAGAGCAGGGCAGCTGCGCGCGCGCGGCGGCAAACGACTGCGGAGCCAGAACAGCTAGTCGCAGAGCGAGCAGCTCTCAAATCATGCCCCGCAAACGGCCTACTTGCATTGACCGCGGCCACCCGGCCACCCGCATTCAGGGGGATCTGCGCGGTTAAACCCTTCGTTGAAACATTCCTCGGCGACGCGGTAATTAGCTCGAAGTGCTTGAGCCAGCAGCTCGGGCAGAGGCAGAGGACGTGCCGGACAGACCTCGTGTCTGGAGGCGTCTCTCAAGACCTGGGCGGGCTCGTCTCTGACCTCCCCACTCGCCCTGACACTTGCGCGTTGGGGGGCGGAGATCCTGGGCCACGGGCGCTGCCCTCAGGGGGGCCGCCCAGCCCTGAGTCATCCGCATCGTCCTGAGCATCGTCCGTCTTCGTTCTCTCGATCAATGAAGATCTCGCCGGGAGACTGACTCCGCCCCTCGGTTAGCTGCGGGCGCGCGAAGGAATGATCGGCAGCAGGCGACGCTTGCGAGGGGCGCGCGTGGTCGCCAAAAATGGGCTCCAAGGCCGAAAGTTCTCCATCGGATTTAGGCGATTCACCAAGACCACTGGTCAGGCGACGACCCCCCGAGTCGCGGAGCCGGGCGTCCGCGGGCGACGAACGAGGAATTGACGATCGCAGGTGGCCGTCCTCCGACGAATTCTCGATGGGAGGTACACCGTCTCCAGCACTGGCCATGGAACCCGTGGGGATTGCACGACGCAGGCTGCCATCTGGGCGAAGATCGCTGTCCCGACTCGACACCGACCGCGCCTTCTCGTTCGGGATGGGGCCGTCTTCCGGCTCGGGCGTGTCCGGCCGTGCGGGTTCATGATAGCTGTCAGAAGCTGAAGCTGGGTATGTATACCGACCTTATGTGAAGAACGTAAGGCGAGGCCCCTGACACTGCCAGAGGGGGAGGAAAACGATCTTGCTCGCCTCTTTGAGCCATGCGTGTGTTCGGGAGTCCCGAACACACCGTCTTCAGTTCCGGGACCACTGCCTCCGGGTCTCGTGGAAGAGCTTCCGGCGGATAGCCAGTGTGCTGCCTATCTATCGTCGGATTGTACACAGGTTTATCTCGGTTCATCGGTTCTGAATGTTCTTGTACGTGCTATTCGCACTCGTCGTGCTCAAGAGAGGCTGCTTGGACCCTGCCAACCGACGACAACATGGCTGCAATGTCCGGTAAGCAGACTTGCTGAAGGTAGTGCGTATGCGTGAAGATGCGCCCGCCGGCCGAGAGGGAGCGAGATCGCGCACCCGCACTTTTGCCTTGAGCAAGCTGTCCGCTGCGGGCACTCCCGCCTCCGTCTTTACCCCTGCCAACCCTTTGTTGAAGGGGATGGGTACGGCAGCACAAACAGGCGAGGCGAGCCTTCGTAATGACTTCATCATCATCAACATCATCATAATCATCATCATCATCATCATCATCATCATCATCATCATCATCATCATCATCATCATCATCATCATCATCATCATCATCATCATCATCATCATCATCATCATCATCATTTTCATCATCATCATCATCATCATCATGCATCATCATAATCGAAGCATCAGAACATCATCATCATATCCTCATCCTCATCATCCAAGCATCATCATCATCCTCCAAATCTCATCCGCAATCATCCTCCGCATCATCATCATCATCATCATCATCATCATCATCATCATCATCATCATCATGATACATGATCATCATCCATGATCTCATCCCAATCATCATCATCATCATCATCATCATCATCATACATACAATAACAGCACAACCATGATGCTCATCAGCGTGTCCTCATTGCCATCATCATCACAGCATCAGCCTCAGCAGCATAATCCATCGGTCGTCATCATCAGTCATCAGCATCCGGCATCGTCCATCATCATCATCATATCATCATCATCATCATCCATCATCACCATCATCAGAATCATCACCATCATCATCGTCATAGTCTTGATGTTTCTCCTGATCCTCCTCCTCCTCCTCCTCCCTCTCCTCCTCCTCCTCCTCCGTCCTCCTCCTCCTCCTCCTCCCCCTCCTCCTCCTCCCCCCTCCTCCCCCCTCCTCCTCGTCCTCCTCCTCCTCCTCCTCCTCATATCATCGCCATCCTCTGCCGAGAAGTGCTGGACTTGCGCGGCCAGCCAGCCGTGGGTGGAACTCCTGTGCAGGCAGACTTTGGCGAGGGACAGGAGAAGAGGAGGACGAGGATGAGGATGAGGAGGAGAAGGAGGAGGAGGAGAAGGAGGAGGAGGAGGAGGGGGAGGAGGAGGAGGAGGAGGAGGGGGAGGAGGAGGAGGAGGAGGACAGGAAAGAAGAAGGGGAGGGAGGAGCAGGAGGAAGAGTAGTATGAGGCGGAAAAGGACGGCGACGACGGCGGGCGGGCGGCGACAACGACCAGAACGGGACGGGGGAGGGAGAGGAGGACGAGGTGGGGCGCAGGAAGAACGGAGCAAGCATCCGAGGGCATCCCAGCCGTCGCCCTCACCTATACAGTCATCGTGCTATCACCAGGACCGCTACGGCCACGGCGAGCCTCGGCCACGAATAGCGTCCCAGACCCAGCTCTGAGGAACGGTCCGACAACCAGAGCCTGCCCTGAGCCCAAAGCGGTCCTCAATGCAGCGCCTTGACTTTCCAGGCAGCTACCGTTGCCGTCGCCGCGATCGTCGTCGTCGTCGACCTCGCCTGTAGAAGCAGTGGTCGCCCGGCTGCAATTTCGGCGGCCCGCCGCCGCCGACGCCGCTTGCCGCCGCGGGCGCGTGCGCGTCTCTGGCGCCCGCCGCGCTTGACGGCGGCGCCTCGGCGGCGACGACGGTAACGACGGCAGCGGCAGCGACGATGGCGACGACGACGACTCGGAGCTGGTCCGCCTCTCTGAGCTTCCTAGGGCGCCCTGGTGGCCACGGCTGGAGTCGCCATAAAATCCCACCAGGCCCCTGGGCGCAGGTGGTTTAGAGCGCTTCCCCTTCCCACACCCCTCTTCCCCAGTCGGGGAAGGGCTTACCCGCATGACGGACCAACCGCAACCCTCTGGAACCGATTCCTTCCGTCGGTGACTAGTCTTAACCTGCCGAAAAAATGCAAATTACAACTGACCATCTTAAGCCGCACGCAGGGATTATGAGTGTAGAGCGTTTCAAGACGATCCAGCAATCAAGTACAACAGCTCTTACGTATAAGCAACTGTTCTGGCAGGCAACATGAGTTCCAGAGTTGGAGTTGGAACCAGCATCCCATTATTACATCTACGAGTTGTGTAGCGTTGAAACTGAGCAGCGGTCACAAATCTTACTGGAGACCGTTGGCAGTCGTCAGAAAAATCCACAGTTTTCAAAGGAAAGCGGTATAATGCGTCACTGTACTCAGTTCCCATATGAACATTGATACGAACATGTGAGAACTGCGAAGGTCACAGAGGCGAGCAACACAATCCTCTCAATTCAACTGTAGACATGCACCTGCAACTTATACCATTACAAATGAGAGGCGCCTCGCTCCCACATGAAAATGGAATTAACTGATGGGGCAAGATAACTGTTCAGATGCTATGTGCGCAGCTTGCACCAAAGAGCTGCCACATGTCGTCTGGAAACTCGGAGGTGTTTACAAGCTGGCGTCAAATCGGTGCAACCTGCCTCTGGCATAATGCATGTTTCTAGTGTGTGAGTTCTAAGGCTTTAGTATGGGACCTGCCCGCTCGTTATATGAGAATTGTCTCGGCTTGTCCTGTTACAAAAATTTCATACATGTCATTTGGGGACGGGTAGGTTTCCTACAACCACTGCAGCGTACACAAAGGAAAATTCAATTGTAAGAGAAGCGTAGCAATTAATCCCCAAAAAATGTTTACACTCTGGAGTTCCTACGTTCTGGGGCCCTAACAGTCGGTCTGGCGGCTATGTTGCCGCCGTCGCCGCCCCGTGCCCGCCTCGTCGCAACCCGTCGTCTGGGTTTGACACTCAATCTGGCAGCTATGGTGCCCCCGTCGCCGCCACGTTGCCGCCTCACTGCCGCCCGTCGTCTGGACCTGACGGTCGGTTTGGCTGTTATGCTTCCGCCGTCGCCTCCCGTCGCCAAGTCGTCGCCGCCCGCCGTGTGGGCCCGACGATCGGTCTGACGGCTGTGTTGTCGCCGTCGCCGCCTCGTCGCCACCTCGGCGCCAACACATAGAATTCTTGTTTGTTGTATACATATACGTATATGTGTATATGTGTATATATACACAAAAACTATGCACGCACATTCGCTTGTTAAAACTCATCGGTTTGGGAAAATCCCTTACAACAGAAAAAACGAATTTCATGCGCGGGCGCGCGCGCCGTCGCGAGCGCATGCCGGGAATCCTACAAAACCTTCGGTGTTGTAAGGGTTTCAGAATCGAATGTCACGAAAACATGTGAAAAAATGTTTGCTAACAAGGATGTGCAAAACAAACACAAAACTGCGCCCGCGTTTTTGCGAATTTCGTTGTTTAATTGAAAAATAAAATACAAATACAAAGCATAACATGCTACCGAACGGGCCTCTCGCGCGCGCATGTTGGAATCGCAAGAACGACTTTGCGCGCGTGCTGTCGCAAGAATCCTGTGCAACAGGTTGGACGAAGTGCACACGCGCGCGTCGTCGCGCGCGCGTGCCTGAATCCTTCCAAAACCGTCGGTGTTGTAGGGATTTCAAAATCGAATGTCCCGAAAGCGCATGAAAAAAAAACACAGGGTTTCACAACATGAATGTCAAAAACAAAAACGAGCGCCCGCGCTCATGCGCATGCGAATTCTTCAGAAAACCTGGCGTCGATCAACATATTCATCATATTCGGCCAAACGGGCCTCTCGCTCCGCATGTCGGAATCATTCGGACGCCTTGTCGCGCGCGCTGGGGGAAGCTCGACCCGTTTCAAAACAAACCATGCGGGCCACTTTCGCGCGTCCGCCGCGCGCGCATGTCGAACGCCTTTCAAAACCTTCATCACCGACGCGAGGGCGCCGTCATCGTCGCGGGCGCCATCAGCATTGGCGCCGTCACTGGCCGTGCCGTCGTCGTTGTCATCACCGTCACAAGCATCAGTACTATCATCAGCGCGTCTAATGTTGTCGACGTTGCCATGATACCGCGCCCGCCCAATTCACCGAGCGGTCAGCGCCGCCGCGGCACCAGCCAACTCCAAGCACTCATCGCAATCGCCGCCGCATAGGCTTTGCAAACCATCTTGCGCTTGGGTGGGCGAGATGATTGCGCGAACCTCAACGTGGGCAACTTACTGCGGACATATATTGCAGCACGTAGACAGCATCACACATATTGCACAACGTAGATTCCCCAACATGGATTGCACACCGTAGCTTGCACCACACATACGTTGCGCAACATGCACCCGACCACAGAGGTCGCACAATACATGTTGCACAACATAGAATACGAAACACGCATTGCACCACACAGGCTGCACAATACAGACTGCACCACGTGAGTTGCGCAACGTAGATTCTCCTCTCTCAAAAGAAAATAAAGTCTACCCCCGTCACCCCCCGCTTCGCGCATTGCGGCTTACATGTGATTCTGCCCGACCACCCATCCTAATTATGAGCTCATACCATCCCAGCCGACAGCCCCCCCCCCCCCCCCCCGACCACCACCATCACCGCCACCACTACAACCACCACCCTCTGCAACAGAACTACGCGCGCAGAAGAACTGTGAGAAGTGCACGCGTGCGCGTTGTCGCGCGCGCGTGCCAACATCATTCAAAAACCGTCGGCTTCGCGCAGATTGCATAATCGAGCGTCTAAAAACATGTTAGACAAAGGGTCCCGCAACATGGGTTTTCAAGAAAAATGTGCGCGCCCTTGTAAATTCTTGCGAAAACCATAACTTGTCACCATGTTCAGAAAATGCAACCAAACGGGCTGCGCGCGCACGTCGAAATCGTTCGAACGCCTTCGCGCGCGCCGTCGCGAGAAATCTGGGCAAGAACAAAGATCAGCCAGCGCTGACTCAAGGAAACCCGAGGGGCTCCAAGCGGCCCTCGAAAGGCCCCCAAACGGTGCCCCAAAGCGCCCCCGAAGGATTAAGCACTACCTCCCGCACACCCCCAGGAGGCCTCCAGGACGCCTCCTGCATGCTCCCCAAGAAGCCCAGAAGGCCCCCAAGAGGCTCCACAATCACCTCCAAGACGCCCCCCCAGGAGGCCTCGAAGTTGCGTCGTAGCGGCCTCTCAAGCAGCCCGCGCACTGCCTCCAAGCTGTTTCCCAACCACTTACGTTTGAACAAGCGCGCTGCAAAACAAGCCATTCTCGAACCGAACGACGAGACGGAGAGCAGGGCAAGTCACATGCGCTCGCGTCATATCCGACGCCCTACCCTCCCATGCCATCCCTCAGGGGGAACTGAGGTGGGAGGGGCGGGAAGAGCACGGGGGCCACGGGGGAAGGAGGAGGGGCAAGGAGGGAACGATAAGGATGCGGAACGGCTCGGACACATATATTTTCACTGCCTACAAAGCTGCAGCGCAGCGCGGAGAAGGGGAAATATCACCCCGCGCCACGGCGAAAGCGTCCTTCGGACAGCGGGGCCTCGCAGCCCCAGGCCGGGTTCCACAATCACTGGGTCGTCCATGATCCACTCCGACCTGAAGTGAATAACATCATGCCATTCTGGACGCGCCGGTCTGCGGCTGTCGCGGTACACCCTGGCTGCCAAGGCCAGCGTCATATACTTTCCTGGGGACACTGCTTCGATATACTTTCCTGGGGCGCCCGCCCACCCGAACAATGGCCAGGTAGATGATTCGCACGTCCCCCATCGATCCCCGCGGGAGCGCCCGGGAGAGGGGCGCCGAAATCGCTCGCGTCAGCTGGCCGAATTTCAATCCACTTGAAGGCCCTAGAGAGGTCCCACATCGAGCATAACAAGGGTATCCACGGGCCCCGCGCTCTATGCAAGATGGCATGCCTGGCCACCTGCCGACGTCGAGGATGGGCGGCAGGGGATGGCCCCGCTTGCCGGTGGCCGCGCTGGCGGACAGCATCGCGTGGATCATACGCCCTTCCGCGCATAGGGTGTGGTCGGGTAGCTGCGTGGGTCCCCTGCCGAGCGGCGCCACCATTAACTCCGTCAGGAAACCTTCCGACTGCCGCGACGTGACTAGCGCGATGCCGTAGGCCACGTCCTTCCAAAGTTTCTCATAAGCCTCTTGGATGTGGGCCCGCGCAC